ATTTTTTCTCGGTAGCCCCGAGTTCAACTCCTCGACCGCGTTGTGTAAATAGTTTATGTTATATTTGAAATATTTGTTTATTTATTTACAGTGTCTCCAATTAGCACATTTAATAATGCTAAATACATTTGACACTTAAATAAAGTTATTATTATTATTATTATTATTATTGTTATTATTATTATTACTGTTTAATTCATCACCGACAATCACACCTTCACCACAGCATTTTCAAATTACATCCACTATATGTACAACCACAACCACAAACACAAACACAGTCGTATTTTTTTCCTTACCCTCACCATTAATTCCTAATGTAATTCACACTGCACACAATTAATATAATCGACATTACAAAAGATGCGTCGGCCACCTCCAAAAAACAACAAAAACAACACGAGAGATTAAGTAAATATCATGATTTGCCAGTTGCGAGACAAATTGATCTGCGAGAGATTGGAAAAATCACGATATTTTGCGATAACCGAGTTCGATAATAGACCTTTTTGTTGCCCCACTCCAGACCATGTGAGCTCGCTGAAAGCCCAGGAAAGCAATCTGCGGAACTGATTTGCAGCAAAGCACATTTAGACGGTATTACGCATGGGCAGACCATTATTTATAGGCACTTAGTGGCAGGTCTCGTGGTGAACTCTCAAGAAATGAAAAGGACAAAAAATGAAAGCATCGAATGATAACAGACTTTGTTCAGAATCCTTCTTAATTCTTAAAATACACAATTTGTTATTTAATTACGTGCCGTAAAGGGCTACAAGGAAAGGACAGCTATCCTTACCTCGACTTAAAATAAATATTAATCATTGGCAATTGTAATATAGATAGGACCCTACCCGCGCTCTGATTGGTCGAAAACCCATGTTTTATCAGAGTATAAAACATAAAAAGCNCTCTGGACATTTGAGAGCACTCGAGAAATGTAGAAAATACTCGCCTGCGGCTCGTGTTCTCTACTTTTACCTCCTGTTATCAAATGTCTGTCGTGTTTTATCACAGTGTAATACACGGCTTAGGCGTCTTTATTTGTTAACTACAGAATGCGGATCAATACAATTTGCAAACCCTGATTTGATAACAGCCAAAAACACTGGAGAGAAAATAACCTAGTTAGCCAAATATTTTCAAGTGTCTTCCCCCACTCCACCCCTGTTAGCAATTATTTTATAGTCCGAGGCCATTGTGCAGATTATTACAGTCCTTATAGTAAATTGTTTCAATCTAAGAGTATATCAGTATTTCGTACAGCGTGTTCCTACAGTGTTATGATTTCCGATCTGGAACGTCAGTCACCAACAACAGTACTTTTCAGAACTACTCTCTCCAAGACGATGACACTAAACGAACTATTCCAGTCCTTTTTAACGAAATGACCAATAAAGCACAAAATAAAATGTATGTATATTTAGTATACAGTATTTACAGTATCTTTAGAGTAAATTGTATAAGTCTCTAAACTTCTGTAGTAGGAGTCCACTATACTGTAACAGCTCCCGTTTGTAATGTCTACTTAACCTGGAGGGGAAGGGATTTCAAACCTTTAATGCTGATAGCTTATCCTAAAATTTATTGTGGAATATTTTTATGAGTCAATTGTTTGTTTACTTGACAATGGTTACTTTCTATGTCAATTCTGGTTTAGTGCAAATTTTCATTTATGATAACTTTACTTCAAACTTTATACATTTCTTGTATCCTTAGCTAAAGCCATTATTGACACGTGTTTATAACTGACGTAAACAAGTTTAGGTGCTTTTCAAACCTTGTAAGTTAATTTATTTTTATTGAGTGAATGCTTCTTGAGATCTTAGGGTCTTTTTCCTCTCCCCCCACACCCCACACCCTACCCTGAAATAAATAAGATTAATCAACTCCTTGCAATCCAGCTACTCCTTGTAGCACCAAGCGTTGTAACTGTTGGTTTTATTTGCTGGTATTGAAGATCCACAGATGCCAATAGTACCACAGCAACTAGGGTGTATGCTTTGCATTGGATAGCGGACAGTGCCGTTTTTTAACCAGCCAAAGCTTCATAAAAAAAATAAAATAAAATAAAGTGAAATAAAATAATAATAATGAGAACGAGAATGAGAATGAGAATGAGAATGGGAATAATAACTATAATAACAACTAAGAAAAATTGAAACAGTAGAGTCTGTTTTGGAAAAGCTGCTCATCATGTCAACAACAGCTCACCGGTTATCAGTAAAAGAATAACAATTGACGTCAGTTCTACATGCGACACTCGCTGGTACTCAAGCATTTTTCAAGCCATTTTCGTTACCAGTCTTACTTATGTCAAAAGAAGGCTCGAGGGCAATGCTTGCAAACTCAGGAGTTATCCTCAGCAACAGATCATTTTCATATTCTCGGTATTGGACTGAAACTAGCTTGCAACTGCGACTAATGCGTGGAGTCCTTTAAAATCAAATTGACGTTAATCTCTTTTTAATGATATTCTTCCACATGAGCCTCTATTGCAAGCTAGTTTTAGTCCAGTACCGTGGACCCCAAAATGGGTGATTGGTATTTTCCTTTATGGATTCTGCTTTTGCGTGGAACAAACGGAACTAACGATGAGAGGTCATGGTGATCAAAGATGGAGAAAGGGACTTTGGAAGCTGAATAATTTGAAGTAAAAAACTTCGAAAAGCGTATTTTCGTAAATTTGCCAAAATTTAAAACGAAAAGAGAAACCATGATCGGGGATCCCAGATTATGTCTCCTGCGAGAAGTCATCCACAGTTGGCAGCTAATTAACAATTAGACCCGTAGCCCGCGAGCTAGGGCTACGGGTCAATGGGCTATTGACCCGTAGCCCTAGCTCGAATGGGCTATTGACCCGTCGCCCTTAAGGGCGAAGGGTCTAATTGTTTTAGTATCACTTAACTGGTCGGACAGAAAAGGCACTAATAAAGTTAGCAAATGCAAGTTGAAGAAATATTTATTAGGGAATAAAAGAAAAGAAAGCGTGACGCTCGGTTGCGCCAATTTCGCTACTCGAGGACTACTACTAATAGTCCTCTAGTAGCGTAGCCAATTAAAATGCAGGATTTGCATTAGTCCACTGGTTGGGTGATACTAAAGGTAATTATTATATCTCTCAGTTACTACGCGCGCTGTGATTGATCAATTTAGCCGGCCGTATTCTACTGTACGGTCAGCTAAAGTTAAAAGCTCTCATTTGTTGCCTAAAAGATTTCGGGATTCTCCCCCAAGTGTTTTTAACTTTTATAGCTGGTAAATATTTAAAACTTTCTGTTGCTTTAAATTGTGTCTTAAAATGTGTTAATTATAACCCCTAGAAAACGATCTCAAATTGACTCCTTTTTCGTTCGACGTGAGTCAGAAATCTGTAGCCGTTCCGCGTGAATAGAAATCGTTCTTAAACCCGTCAGACAAACAATAGAGGTATAATAAATATCTTAATTGAGTTCGAGGTCCATACTGTAAGAAACGGACCGAGTTTTCTCCCCTTCGAGAAATCGAAGTTGAATACGCTCACTCCGTAAATTGCAGTATGGACCTCGAACTTGGCTAGTAAGAGAAATCTATTCATAGGTAGATAGGTAGCAGGCTAGTAGATAGGTAGAGAAAGACATAAACCGACATGAACTAAAACAGCAGCATGCAAACACTTCTGATAGGCATTCTTAAAGGCTACACTATATGGTCGAATGTGGCAAGCAATATATAGTAAAACGTAACGCAGACGGAAATTAAAAGCAACAAAATAAAACAGCAACAACAACAATAATAAAATGGTTAACATACTCGCATTGCTCAAGACCGGCACTCCAAGCATAATGCAGCTGGTCGTATGTTGCTAATGTTGCTCCATGAATTTCACATACTCGCTGTGCGTCATAATAGTTTAGATTGTACCTGCCAACACTGGCATGAAATACGCCTTCTACAGGATTGGTCAAACTCAAGCCGCTGGTTTCTAAATCTGGAAAAAAACAACGAGAAAATCCGGGTGACAAATGCTTATCCCCAGAATATTCAAAAAAGAAATACCAGATCTAGGCGCTTTACACTTTACTCAATCAATCAACCAAAAGTAAATTGTAGAATAAGAAGAAAAAGAAGAAGAAGAAGAAGAAGAAGAAGAAGAAGAAGAAGAAGAAGAAGAAGA